CACGCGTACGTTAACATACAATAGATATGTAATACCTTCAACCCTTGCGATGTCCTTGGTATCGTATTCAAGTGCCTCAGATCCTTTCAAGAGAGTCATATCTGTCAAATGCCTGAGTGCACTTTGCGCCGCCGCTGTCTTCGTATCAACTGCGACAACTGGCGTATGATCAGTGCGCTTGATGTGCTTAGCCTTGGTCTTCTTTGTCGATGATTGCGTGGCTGTTTCCGTACTGACCGGATGATCCACGCATGCTTTGCTTTGCTGGTGCATGTGCTTGCTGACGTGTTGTTTTGTGGGTGCATGTTGAGCTTTCTTTTTGTTGGCTTTAGATGTCACCTTCGACGGGATGGCATGCTCTTTCTTCGATATCTCAGTGGTCCTCTCAGTGGTATCGGTTTCTGTTTGTATCTCGGCGTTGGTGGTACTTTCTTTACTCTTCCGAGTGACTTCCGTCGTTGACTGAGAAGTATTGTCCCCATCTTTGCTCATCTTAGTGGCTATTGAAGATGTCTCCGATTTGGTGTCACCTCCTGCCGTTGTTTCAGGTTGTACGACTATTTCCTCTTTGGGCGTCGTACAGGCCTTCGTGGTGGTATCGATTTTCGAGTCTCCTTCCTTGTCTTTCCTGCTCTTTTTCTTCTTGTTTTTCTTCTTCTTGTCCCTGTTGGTCATGATTTCGACCTGAAAACAACCCAGGAAATAGAAACAATAAACACTCACCCGTGTGTGTATACACACACACAGTTTATGAAGACAGGTATGAATACATTGACCATAGAGATGTGATGTGGGCTGACACAAACGATGCATTTATAGTTCTACTACATACGTTTTTGTTCGCCTAAAGACGTACTTTACATACAGCAACGTGTATCACACAAGTTGAGTAAGTGTAAGCAGTCAGCAAACACTAAAACACTGAAATTATATATCCCATAACACGGAAAGCTTTAAATTGGGCATCATATTCAATCACAGAAGCAAAAATTTAAAGAATTCAACCTCTATTGTAAAAATCTTTTATTATATGTACACATCTCAGTATAGCTATTCTACTATGTCCACGTCTATAACCATTCAAATATTCGCGAACTACCATC